GTCCTCGAGGCGCTCTTCGCGCCCTACGCGCCCTACCGCAGCCTCGCGGCCTACTACATGTGGCGCGTCGTCGACACGAAGGCCTTCAACCAGGACGCGGACGCCTGAGGCGTAAGTTCAATCTTACTCGGTGCGCGCCGGCACGCGCCGCGCACAGACTATCGAAGGCCGGGGTGAGACTGATTAGCCTAGAGATAGGCCCCGATGACGCCGCGGATGACGTCCTGGACGTCGGCTCGGCTCCGCACTTCCTCCGGGACGCAGGCGCGAAGCAGCGCGGCGACGACCAGCGCGGCCTTGCGCTTCGCGGCGGTGCCCGCGTTGCGCACGATCGACTGCACGCCGCTTATCCAGACAGAATGGTTGTCGACGGTCACGCGGCCGCCGCGCGCGAGCTCGACGACCGCCTCGAGCCCAATGGTCGCCGCGATCGCGACCGCGTTGGCGTCGTTGTTGTCGGCGAGGCTGCTCAGGGCCCGCGCGGCCTCCAGCTTGTTCGCCGTGCCCCAATCGCGCAGGAGCTCGACGAGCGGCGGGACGCCGCCGGCCGCGGCGATCGCGACCTTGTTGGCAGCGTTGTTGCACGCGAGGTTGTGCAGCGCCCGCGCGGCGTTCCATTTGGCCTGCAAATCCCCGTCGCGCAGGAGGTCGACGAGCGGCGGAGTGGCGCCGGCCTCGGCGATCGCGACCTTGTTGGCGTCGGCGCACGCGAGGTTGCCCAGCGCCGCCGCGGACGCCGCTTTGGCGTCCGCGATCCCGTCACGCAGGACGTCGATGAGCGACGGGATGCCGCTGGCCTCGGCGATCAGGACCCGGTTGGTGGCAGTGCTGTACGCGAGGCCGCACAGCGCCGAAGCGGCCCACGCTTTGGCCGCCCCGCTCCCATCGTGCAGGAGCTCGACGAGCGGCGGGATGCCGCCGGCCTCGGCGATCAGGACCCGGTTGGCGGCGTTGGCGGCCGCGAGGTTGCCCAGTCCCCGCGCCGCCGCCGTCTTCGCTGCGTCGTCACCCTCGCGCAAGGCGCGGACCAGCCCCTCGATCTCCGCCATGCTTGACCCCTTCGATAACGCCGACGTTTCCCACTGCTTGCACATTCAACCAAGCGATCCAAGCATGGCTTCGACTCTGCGCGACACAGCGCTCGCGCCCTCGCATTGCTCCGAATAGATCGCAACGCTCGCTCCTCCGACAGATCGCAACGCTCCGACGGCGTCTTCGCGCTGCAGAGCACGAGCATCGGAACCCGCGATATGGCTCGCAAGAAGGGCGCCAGCGCTGCGAGCGCAGCGAGGCAGCAGCAGCAGCAGCAGCCGCGCGGCTGGGCCGTGCCCGCGGGCGTCGTCGCCGTCGTCGCCGTCGCCGCGTCGGTCGTCGCCGCGCGGTCCTCGGCGCACGCGATCGTCGAGGAGGACGCCTGCGACGGAGACGACGCGACCTGCTGGACCGCCGCGGCCTTCGACGGCGTCGCCGCGGGCGACTACGGCGCGGCCGCGGCCGCGTTCCGCGCGCTCGGCGCGCTCGACGGCGACGACAGCTTCGCCTGGCAGTGGCTCGGCCGGGCCGAGGTCGCGCTCGGCGACCTCGCGGCCGCGAGCGCGGCGTTCGACCGCGCCGCGCGGACGCTCGGCCGCCGCCTCTTCGCCGACGACGACCTCGAGGCGCGCACGGTCGCGAGCCGCGACGCGCAGCTGCGCCTCGACCGCTCGCGCGCGGACGCGCGGCGCCGCGCGTCGCGGGCGCCCGGCCCGCCGCGGGCCATCCCGCGCGTGCGCTGGGAGGACGTCCCCGCGGGCGGCCTCGACGCGTCCACTCCGTGGATCGTCGAGGGCTACGACGCGCGGCGCAACTTCACCCTGGACGCGCTCGCCGCCGCGTGCGGCGCCGAACTCGTGCGCCCGCGGCGCCGCGTCGCGGGGTCGTCGGCCT